CCTATGTCTTATTCATTCTCTGTCGTTTGGATCCATCTGACAGGAAGGAGAGCACGTCTACGGGACCCACCAAGTTTGAGGTGCAGATTGTGGCTCAGTTTGACAACCATAACTCCCAGGTGTGGCGTGTGAGCTGGAACATCACCAGCACCCTGCTGGCCTCATCCGGGGATGACGGCTGTGTGCGCCTCTGGAAAGGTGGGAGGTTATTGTTAGCTACTGTTGATGAACGCTCATCTGTTTTCCTTTCATTTTACTGACAGCTGCACTGAAAGCGGTTCAAAATGTTAGTTTTTCCAATGCTGAGTAAACAGTGACTCTCACCAGGTATTGAGTGACATTGGCTGGTGCATTGTTGGTGTCTGTCAGTTTGAGACGAATGGTGAATCAGGCGGTCCAATTTCACAAACAGTGCTGAAGTATTTGCACAGTGTTAAGATTGGTTCACACCAATTCTAAGAAGGTTTGTCACCTTACCCTGTCAGTCCCTTCTTTGACTCATTGTTGGTGGTGTTACTTTGTGGCTGTACTTGGTGGTGGTTTTAATTACTGTACCCAATAGAATTTTATATATATAACCGATAATTCTATATTATTAATTAGTTGTCAGCTATTGAATTAATCCCCAACTATTTGGATAATCAGTTCCTCAGTATTAATAGTAAAATTCAGTCATTTTAAAAGAAAAAAAAAGTTAAAATTCTCTGATTTCAGCTTCTCAAATGTGACTACTTTCTGGTTTGTTAAGTCCTCTATGGCAGTACACTGAATATCTTTGGATTCTGGATAAAAACATTTGAGGACATCACTTTGGGCTTTATGAAACACTAATCAACATTTTTCTGATATTTTGTTGACCAGACAAACTAATTGTTTAATCAAGAAAATAAGCAACATATTAATCGATAATGGAAGAAAATCTTTAGTTAGAGCACTAGTACCCACTACCCAGCCCACCCTGCTGTCCTGAATGGTGCATATTAGCCAAAGGACAAACATGGATTTGTACTATATATATGTGTGTTTATGGAAAAGCAAAGTCAACAGCTAATGAGATTCATTATTAAAACTAGTAGTTTATTTGTTTGGTCATTTGGAGCCTGAAGAAACATTTTGGATGGATTTTAGAGCTTTTTCATTAAACAGCTGCAAAGACAGTGCTGTGAGAGGAACCAAACCAGTGAAGTTGTGGGCCAGAAAATCAGAACAACTAAGCTTTAAGGTGTTTTTGGAATATGACAGACTTTGAGTCACTTGTCCATCATGTTCCAAGCATTGTAAGCCCTGATTTTACCTCCTGTCCCTGTCCCTCTGCAGCTAACTACATGGACAACTGGAAGTGCACAGGCATCCTGAAGGGGGACGGCAGCCCGCTCACCGGCTCGTCTGGTCAGCCCACCGCCATGAGCACCGTGGTGGGCTCCTCTGTTCAGACCTCCCAGAATGCCCTGAACGGGATGTCGGCAGGAAGGTAGGTGGTGTGGTGCGACTGACGCCACTCACCCAGCCCAACCTGAGCCAGTCAGAACTGACAACTTACAATGCCTCACACTGACTGGGACTGCAGCTGCTCACTGACAAACTTCCTGGGCCCACACTGACCAAATGCTGCACTCATGCAAAGAGCTTGGCTTCCAGCATACAGGTTGTCGGCATCAGGCCTGTGGAGTTGGATGTGTTGTGATTTCCTCCGGATTTGTACCGATGCATGTTGATAAGAGTGGTTTCATGTTTCCACGTTGCATTGTCAGTGTTAGGGCTTAACATTTTCTAAAAATAAAATAAAATAAATAAACCTGTTTTTATATAAATTTGATATGTGACTATTATTTCAGACGCTAGAGTTATTTTGGGATATACAGGAGAACCATTGTCTCGTTCGGTAACATTATTTTGTAAATATCAAGAAATTAGATTTCCTCAAAATCCAACATTTTAAAGATGAGTAATTAAATCATACATAATTCTCCTCATTTCACTTTTGAGTTTCAGTGTATCCTCAAACATGTATTGCCAAACTCTTTGCTGAGCAGGACAGTTTGATTGAACCTTATTAACCAACTGTAATAACATCAGGAAATAGTATGAGCATATGTAGTATGGGTATGAATACAGCCAGTGACATTTATGGTTTTAAAGAGAGTCTATGTAACATTTGAAAGAAGAAATGAAATGTTGAATTCATAAGCAATAAAACTCACCCTTTCTCAATTCAGCAAATTTAAGGGTTTTGTTGCTCTGGTATGACCAGTAGCTTTAAGTGGCAAATGTTAGCAAAGCTTTAGGTAGAAATTACTATGGAAAAAGTTAGAATTCCACTGTTGGCATTTTTCATTATCACGTAATTGCTACTTGTAGCCACAGTGGTCACTGTTCAGCAAGTTACATAGGCTTGCTTTAGACTTCAGATGATTAAAAAACACTAATTAAAATGCCAGTGGACAACAGTGTTTGAGTTAACACTGATTTCATCTAAGTTAGTTTGTGGCTGTATTTATGTTCAACTTAATAATCTCTAACTTAACATAACCTCTGTATTCACCATTCTTGATTTTGACTTAACTCTCACCCCTAACCCAAGTAACACAAGTCTACTGAATCACATTCTGTGTTTTAGAATAATTACTTCGCAATCAATTTTGATTTGTAATGCATTTTGTGAAATTACACTGCACAAATGTTTTCTTGCACTCGATTTCCTTGTTGACAAAAATGGGTGAGCAGTGGGGTTTGTTGAAGTAATGTGGTGTTGTACTGCTTGTTGCATGCAGGATTGGCAAGAGAGCTCCCTTTGCCCCTCCCCTGCGGCAGCTGACCTCTCCAAAGATAAACCAGCATCCTGCATATTACTAATGTCTCCTCTGCATCAACTACCATTTGCCCTTGTGTTAATGCATTTGAAATGTGTGTGAGTCATGTCCGAGCTGAATACTTGGGTACTGCTGGTTAAGGGCTTTGTTTTGGCATGTAAGCTGCATGGGTCTATTCTTTACAACTTCCACTTTGTTTTGATTCCAACTTGTTGTTTGCCAGTGGTTCATACCGTATACATCTTTTAAAATAAACCTCTAGCCCTACTCTGTCTGCCATTCTCCTCTCATTTTTGTTGTTTCTAGAGCACACATGCATCCTCTCTCATTTTAATCTCTCATTTCTACTTCCTTTTATGTGTTTCCCCTCTGTATTCCATTGTCACTGTCATCTCCCTGTCCATATATTTGTCGTCTCTGTCTCCTTCCATTTTTTCCCGTTGCTTCAGGTATTTCTTTCCGCCTCTGGATCCTCCCAGAGCGGGGACCAGGTATGGTCACCTGCTGCCTCCCTCCTCCCTCATAGAGCACTGTGATGCTGAGCCCATTCAGCCTCAGCAACAGGCTCTTCCCCACAGACTCTCCTCTAGAGCACTGCTACCATTACCAGAGGCTGAAGGGCAGTGATTTTTCAGCCGTTTTTAGCTCAAATAAGAAGGGAAATGGTTTTGGGGGGGATCAAACAACTGCCATTTATTTCTAATAAAGACTTATTTTTTTCTCTGTTTTTTAATGTTATTTTTCCTGTGCATAAATTAGAAAAGGTATTAGAAGAATGGAACGTCATTAAGATTTGATTAAATATTTGCATTATATGGCCAGGGAAGCCATTTGGATAATCATTTGAATCTATGTTAGGCTGTGAATAATAAACTAAACATTTTCCATATTTAGTGCTTTGTATTCTGGTGCTTTAAGATCATAGACTGTTTTTGGGGGGCCATAAAACAATGTCCGTGCTGGCTGGTAAAGCAGACAAAAATAGAGAAGCATTGTGGGGGTTTTTTGTCTGAAGGACTGACCAACCTCAACCATCAGTGCCTGCCTCCAAAGGAAATGTTTGTAATTGTCACTTTTTGATTGTGAAGATTTCATATGGTGAAAGTCAGAATAAACTAAGATTAAAATAATTCTATTGAATATTTCCTGCACATACACAAACAGGAACTGATCGCACTCCATGCATGACTGACCACCTTGTGAGACAGCTCTTCTATGGGAATAGCACATGATTCATGATCACATCTCTTTGTTGAAAATGGATCCACTGTATTTTTGTATCTTGACTTGGGAGAAAAAAGCACAGTCACATTGTTGGTAGTTTATGAATGATATAAATAAAAAGCTCATTCAACTGACATGGTTCTCTAAAAACTGACTGTCAACTTCGTACTTCCTATTTTATTAAACTGAAAAATCTGGAACAGCTCTGTTCAGATTCAGTCATTGTTTCAGGTATGATTTACCCTGCTGAAGTGTCTGAGGGAGTAACTGATCCCTACCAGTTCTATGGCTTTTGTGTAGATGCTGAAGCTTCTAAAGGCAAATACAAGAGATTTCCCTGCGGGGATCACTTAACATTATGTGTGAATATGAGACATTTCTCCTACCAGTTTTACTCTTGAATAATGGAAATAAACAGTATGTCATTTGTTTTGCCGGAGAAGATAAAATTTCATTTCATGGCTCACTCAGATGCCTCTCTAAAGCTGGAATGCATAGGATGGCAGTTCTCAGCAGGCAGCTGTCTGCTAACCCAGGCATCCTTGCAGCTGCTTGGCAGAACACATGATACACCAAACTCTCCACTTGGCCATTAACTATCACACTGTGCATCTTTGGTTTAATGTCCTTGTGTATGGTAGAAAAACATTTTTTTGCTTAATCTTTGCTCATTGCAAAATAACAGTAATAATAATTCTGCCTGTTTAATTTGATGAAATGATATATTTGTAGCCATTATCACATACATTATGTCTGGAGTCCAAAAATAAGCATTCTTTCATTCATCTTGTCAGGACAGACACCCGATTGATGCATCTATGGGCCATTTTCCAAATTTAACAGAAAGACACGAATCCCTTCCTATCGTGATTGACAACTCCCTCCCTCCCAGTTTTCTTGTCCAATCAAAGTGGTTTAAATTGGTTAAGTCCCGCCCATACGACATGACGCTCACGCGGGCTTCCTGTGGTTTCTGGGCGCTGCTTGGTCCTCCGAAGTGGCGCACGGTTTGTTTGATTTTAAGCAATAATGACAACCTTAAGTTATTCAGAAGTTACTTTTGGAACTTAAATACACCTTGCGACGTGCCTGCGCCAGTTTATGAAGACAAAACTTGAGTTGGAGAAGAACCGTGATCTGTCGGGCCGCTTCTGGAGTATTGACTGTGAGTTGAACTAACGTTAACAGTTAACGTTTAGCCTTAATTCTCTCGCTGAAATGGACCAAGTCACGAAGGAACTGGGTTAAGATAGCAAGCAGCTTCAGCGTTACATACTTCACGAATGAATGCTGTCTGTAACTTGTCTTTTTGCAACACTTTACTCTAAGTTAAACAAAGAAAGTGGTGTAACGTTAGTTAGTTATTGGTTGTTTTTGGAGCGTGGTGAGCGGTTTGACAAACCCACTTGTTTTTAGCAAGTAGCTCAGTTAGCTAGCGTGAAAAGTTAGCTAACCTAGCGCAATTAGCTAGTTAATTGCGCTTTGTTTGTTTTGTTCATAGGCCAAACTCTATAGTCGCGAAACAACGTAGTGTTACACGAAAATATATATAAATAAAACTTATTTGTGTTTGCAAGAAAGTACCTTTCTTCCATGGTTTTCATTGTTGTGAGGAGCTTCAAATGGTCCCATCCGTGCCAGTGTACTGTAAACTTATTGAACGTGTTTTGAGTTCTCAAAGTAATTGTAATCTGCCCTTTATTTCCCCTAGACATTACAGATGGTCTGCAGCTGAGCTGAAATCAAGCCACATTTGGCTTCCACCCTTCTTCATTTAAAAACATGGCAGATAGTTTCTACAAATTGGAAGATGAAGCCTTCCCCAGTTTCCTCTGCAAGTCTCTGGACAGCACCAGTGGCCGCGCCACACTGGGGAATGTGACATTGGGTTCAGGCCCAGGACTTCCAGTGGCTGCCTCTACAGTGGCTAAAATTAGACCTGTGTCTGACAACAGGTGGGAGCATGCTGCTGCTTCGGACAGATGTGACTTATAGAAACACTCATGCATCAGTCTCTGAATCATCATACAGCCTCTTTGATTAATTGCTAAAATGATTCCAATGCTTGTTTTGGGAGGTTTTAATGTTTGCACTATTTCCAGTAGCTAAGGAAGTCTGTAGTATTGATATGCAAGTCATTGATAGTAATATATTAGAACAAAACATGGAGACATACCTGCCAAATGTAGAACTACATATGGATGTTACTAAGAAGTTGTTGTAGCTCTTTATCTGAAATTTACCAAAAAAGTAACAGTGCTGAGTCAGTATTCAGTTGCTAAATCGAGTTCTGTAGCACTAACCATGGTGCACTGTTTAGTATCTTAACAGTCGGTTGTTTTGTGAAAGCAGTGCTATCTGTGCTTGCTTTACAGAGGAGATCCTGTTGAGGCGTCATATCTGGAGGGCAGAGAGCTGCAGCAGGCCAACTCATCCGTTCAACAGCCCAAGTTTTCCCTAAGCTTTAAAGATGACTTGTGAGTATATACATACATGTAGTTCACACAGTGTTGTGGAAAAAATGCTTTATGTAAGGTTTTGGTTTCTAGAATTGTTTTGGAGTTAACTGCCATACTTGTTGACTTCTGTTTGTAATATCTAAAGTAATGCAGATGATTTCTCCTAAAAGCATAAGACAGGCTATAAAGTATATGTATCTCAATGTACATCTGTCTTTTTGTGAATCAGCCCATGTAGGTTGAATAATTTCACTGAGTACTTTTACAGTTATGTACATGTGACACATGATTAGTTAATCATAGTAAAACTGTGACAGCCTAATTTTAATATAGAAATATCATTTTAAAGGAATTCCAATTTTGTGAACAATCATAATGTATAATTTATATTATTATATATATTTATATATTTTTCCACTTTTCTCTGTGTAATTTTCATGTGGTTAAAATTATTTGCATGACTACCCGCGTTACAGGGACAATGCGGATGACTTCATTGCAGCCCACCGTCTTTCAGACATGCTGGTAAAGATTAATCTGGATGAGTGCGCATCTAGAAACCAGAGCACCATGGTGGGGCTTCCTCCCACACAGATGGACTCCATCCATGGCCGGCCCACAGAGCTCGGAACAGGTAAACTCTCCTTTCTCCTGTACTGTGCCCATACTACCCTGTTTTTCTTTTTGATATTTTATTGACATATTTTCATACCATGCAAACTCAAAAAAACAATCTGAACCCAAGGCCCAGTACACACACACACACACACACACACACACAGACAGAGACAGACCCAGTAACCCAAGAAAACTGGCTGACTCATCCCAACCATGTGTCCAGGACACAAAAGTTAACAAGAACACATATCACATATCATCCATGTCAAATCATCAGCTGCAATCTATCAAAAGTGCAGGGACAAAACAAAAAAAAATAGAAGAAAAAAACACAACAATATAATGATTAATATATAAAACTGTGGTCAGATAGAGTCCAGGTATTGCAAAAATATATGTGTGCTTTCTGATATACAGAAAATAAACTACACATTTTCTTTGAATCATACTAATGGACTTTGTTTTCCTGACAGAGCTGTCAATGGGCCTGTTGACATTTGCCCAGTTTGGACATAAAGACAGTACAGATGCAAAGGTATGGGTTGAACAGTTGGTTTGTGTACCTTTTATCTTGCAGTAATTTCTAACCCTAAAAGTCCTAACCTGGCTATCTCCAACAAAACAGTGTTCAGTTACCTTGCATTCTGCTCCCCATACAGGTCCAGCTCTTACCAGCTACAGCTGACAATGTGGAGAGTGACGGAGTGGACAGTGACCATTTCAGTGGCAGTAACTCAAGCTTCCTGGCAAATGAGAAGCTCATGTCTGTGGATAGTATGAACAGCGACATCACAGGTATGACTTGCATTCATCTTTCTTTTTTATTCCTGGATAGTGTTACATGCTTATTACACTTTGTGGACAGATTGCTGTCATGTTGTCATGTGTTTGATTCCCAGATGATGACATTGATTCGAACAACCTGCCTGATGACGAGCTGGAGCTGTATTTCAATAAGCTGGTGCCTCCTGCCATGCAAAGAGGCAGAGTAGAGGGCCAGGAGATTCCTGCAACAGTAAGGCTCTCCTCCCCTTGAACACTTTCTACTTGATCCTCTTGTTCCTGTAAACTTGACCAGCATTAATACGCCATTAATCAAAAACAGTTTAATAGTAACCTAATAGTAACGGTTTATTTCATTGTTCATAGGGACTGCAGGGTGCTGCTGATGACGTATCAAACCCAAGTTCTACAGAACCAGAACATTATAGACACTACTTCCTTGATGATTACGATCAGGTGAGCACATTTATATATGCCCCTGTGCAGTTTCCTGTTCATGTGGCGAGATGTTTACATTTATAAACATACTTTTCATGAATATCACCTGGAGAAAAAGGGGTTTGGCAGAGAACCACACTTGCTTTGACTTTAGTTCTAAAGTGGCCATCTTCTACAGTCTTCCTTGTCGGATTTATGTTACATTTCTATTTTATTTTATTTTCTTCTTTCAATTGCTTATCATTTTTATTTACATTTGTTACTGTATCTTGTGTACCGTTTTTCTTCAGGAGGACTTCCAGATGCCGGATGTACGTCTGGCGGCCACAGGTATGGACTCCTGTCCTGCCAGTGATGAGGACACTGAGGATGAGCTGGAGTCTGCCAGGAGGAGCAGCAACACTACCAGAACACGGCTGCTGCCCAGCACCTCCAGACAACTGGTCAGAAATAGCAAGCAATATTGTTATTAGATTTTTTTTAAACTCTCAAATGTAATTATCAGTATCGGCCTCAACATTTGAGTATTGAGTAGGTCCATCATTCTTATAAAAATATATTGTACAACAGAGTTTTTGCTTTATGTAGTTTATTCATTTATGTGTGTCTGTACTTGTTGGTCTAGGTTGGAGAGAGTAATCGTCCCAGTTTTAGGCCGGGCTTAGAGGGAGGCAGTTCTGATGATGAGGCCTCTAGTGGCCGCGGCGGTCCATCTCTGTCTGGGATTGAACACAGACGATCTGCTGAGGGACAAGTCATCAACCCTCCGGTCACAGGTGCAATATGCAGCTCAAAGATTCACCTATTTATTTATTTATTTATTTATTTATTTGTTTGTTTTCTTTCTTTTTGGTTCTCTGTCTGGTTTTCCTGCTTTCTTGATATTTCAACATTATTGCATATAAAGGCTTGATATGTATTTAACAAGGAGCAGGTCCATGGTCGTTTTGAGGCAACGTTAATGTGACTAGCGCTTTTGTTGCTTGTAACTCCAGGGGATGGAGGAGGTGGCGATGGGAGTAGTGGGAGTGAGGAAAGCGGAAATGACGGTGGAGTCTCAACCATCCCTCTCCCAACAACTAACGCCCAGACCACCTATGATGTCCTGCGCGGGCTGGGGATTGTGGGTAGCAGTGCTGTTGGTGAAGATGAGGATGCCGAGCTGCATAATCTGCCAGGACATGGGAGGAACAGTCTTTCCAGACATACTGAGGTAAGAATGAGGCTTTGATAAATGCTGCTGTAATAATGATAATTCTAGCTGTTTTTGGCCTTTCATGCACAGTTTTGTTCACATTGAAGATATTGTACACATCTAGTTTTGTTTGCCCTCATAATGTGGATTTTATGACACACTGTTATTTTATAGTTTACATATAAATAGTTTTTGTTGATGTGCTGCTTGCAGATGGGTGACCGTGTGGGCCCTGTAGGAACAGGAGAGACTAGCTCCTCTTTGGGGGCATCAGGGGGAACTCAGAGGCTTTCTCCCGTCAACTGGAGCATGGTCCTGGACCGACAGGAGGCATTGGTGAGTACAGATGCATAACAACTCTAATATAACTCTAACAGCCTGCTGGTGGGTATTAATCAGGCCACTGTACTTATATATTTATTTTTTGACCCCTTTGAAAAGTTGGTGATAAACAGTTTGTACTTCTATTTTAAGGGAAAAGGGCAGACCATCCACAGTCCAATCAATGAATGTGCTCTATGTTTGTTATTTAAAAGTTAGAACTTTAGATTTGGGTTTTATGTATGACATTTAAAAATCGTTTGTTGAAATTAAAACAATGTGTGTAAGTTGGTGAGTAATTGTTTGTTTGCCTCTTTTATACGGAGGACCAATAGTCCTGATGTGTTTAATAAGTATGTTATAATACAAACCCTTCTATGCTTTTTCCACTTACATGATTTGAGTGAAACATTGATTAACTGTTGCATAAACAAGATGTGAAACACTGCACAATGAGAACACAGAAACAAAGTAAAAGCTACAAGGGCTAAAATACTAATGTATATGATGAGCTTTAAAGGGTCTGTTTTTCAATGTGGCTCTGATTTAAATACCAGGATGCAATGGAAAGCACGGAGTCTGGGCCCACGAGTGACCGACTGTTGGACTCGGTCTACCTAAGGAGTGGAGCTGGACTCAGGAGACCTCAGAACTCTGCAAACCTAACTGCCTCCCACCTTCAAGGCACCCAGGGGAGCTTCCACCTCTCCCAGGTACAATAACAGGGAAAATCTGGATTATTTTGACACATTTAAAAAAAAAAAAAATTGAGAGGTAAGACACAAGTACCTGAACAGATTTTAATTTTTATGCAGCCTATATACTTTTGTCAACCATCCCATCCTCAGGTTCTGCTCCCAGAATGCGATGAGGATGATGATGAGGATGAAGAAGTAGATGAGCCTGATGGTGCCAGGCATTCTTTGGGCTTAAGGGGTGGGCCTTGTGGTGACGTGACTGGTGCAGAGGCTTCAGGCAATACCAGTGAGGATGATAACAATCCTCTTTCCACCTCCCTGGAAGCCAAGTATTTCTCCCAGAGCTTCCACCAAGAACAAGAAGATTCAGATGATGGGTGGAACCATTGCCCAGAAAACCTGGAGCTGGAGTTTCAACAAGGTTGGCTTTATCTTTGGTGTTTACATCAGACATCTACTGTAGATAGTAGGTGATACACATTGGTGCATGGATATGTTAACAGCATAGCTTGTGTCTTCAGGTGCCAATGCCACTCAGAGCGTGGTCTACCAGAATGAAGAAGGGCAGTGGGTGACAGACCTGGCATATTACTCCTCCTTCAAGAAAGAGGTTGATGGGAAGATGTCAGAGAACGTTGGCCAGTTTCAGAATGATGACTTTGTTCCTTTGAGTATGTTCCAAGACTACAGCACTATAGTAATACAATAAGATTGTTGTACTGTAAGCTTTTTGTTTGCAAAATACTGCGAATAATTGAATGGCCAAATATTCCTTTGCAGGTGATGCTATGGAAAAGATAGTCAAGGATCAAGAGGAATTTGAAAAGGAGCACCAATTCATGCAGGTATACAACAGTATACAATTGATTGATTTTTTTTTAATATATATATATATATATATATACATTAGAAGACATTGCAGAATACTTTGAACATACTGTTCACTGGTTACAGCATACTAAAAATAACCAAAATCCACTTGGGTTATATTGTTGGTCAGAACATAAACAAATTAATGCATGAATGTGTTACAGCCATTTTATGAGAGAAGATGCTAACAGACACCTGGAACTCTTAGCTACACTGTTTTTATAAAGCATGGCGTGTTGTGGTTTATTTCTGAGTATTGTTGTTCACACAGGAGGAGAAGATTGAACCAGCCAGCAGCAACAGCACCTTTCATAGTGACTCATCTTGGAAAATCCCCTCCAGCAACCACATCCTGATGAGGGCTTCCCAGGTCTCCTCACAGTTAAAAGAGGGGGACCAAAGCTACCTGCGACTGTCTTTTGGGCAGTTTATTGGACAACGCTCTGAAGCCATGGGCTGTCTAGGCAGCACTGATGATGTGGATGGGATTAAACGGGTCTGTAAAACTTTCTTAGGCCTGCTTACAGAAATGTAATACAAAAAAATGTAGCTTCTCTCAGTCTCCATGGGAGGACATTAAGAGTTAATTCACATATATAGCTGTGGAAGGGATGTGCATCAACATTGGCATGCAGCTAGTGTCTGATTGCTGCCAAGCTCTAGCTGTTAATGTGCAGGGGGTTTTTTTGGTTGGCAGGAGAGACCCAGGAAATAATTGACAGGGCTGAATAGGATTGTGTTTCAGCTAATTTTCTAATCAAGTTTGTACAATGGTGAAAAGTTGAGATTGCATTCACTTGTCGCCTGAGTGGGAACTGTAACATGTATTAATAAGTTGTTCTTTGTTCTTCTAGCCGTCCTTTGGCTACATCATTACCTCTCCAGAGAAGAGGGAACCATTTGCTCTAATTCACCCCTCAGAGTTCTCAGCAAGAGACAGCCCGCCTCACAGTGACACCATGGAAGTCAGTGAAGCAGACAAAACTCTCAACCCAGGTGTGTTCCCAGTATTGCAGAGGCTGAATAATTATTTTCTAGTTTCATATAGCAGTGCCTGATCTTTTCTGTGTTTTGCTTATTTTAAAATGATTTGCTCTTTTCTTTTCTGACTCTTACTCATGGTCCTACAGACGACCTGGACAAAACTCTTGAGGCTCCAGGTGAAAGGATGTCACCGAAAGGTGATACTGATCCAGAACCATGTAAACAGGAGGTACAGGGACCTATTTAAATATTGATATTTTAATATCTCCATGTAGGAGTACTTGCACAGCTGTATGGCTTTCTAACATAAAATCACTTCTCATCTTTAGGACCATTCTGTTCGAGCTGTACTGCCTGATCACACTGAGGGCTCTGGCTCTGAGTCAAGCTTGGGTAACCAAAGCTGCGTGTCCCCCGACAATAACAGCAGCCATCTGATGCTGAGCATCAGCACGATTGCTTCAGCCATTGCTGATGCATCCATCAGCACTGACCCATCGCAGCTGGCTGCCATGATCATGGAGCTGTCCAAGAGGAGTAGGGCGAGGAATCGATCTGAGTCTGCAGGACCTGTTGGACCTGCTGTCAGCAGCACCGAGGAGCCACACTTAGCTGAACATGTAAGGCTTTTTTCTTTTTTTTCTTTTTTTCAAGAATGTACTTTTTCGTGGTGTTTTGAGGAATCTGCAACAAAAAATCATGACCTTTTTATTAAATGTTCATCTTAAAATGAACCTTTAAAATAAAGAGTAATGTTTTGCCCTCTACATAGATCCTCCCAGAGCCTTATCAGAGCGTCTTGGAAACACTGCAGAGAAGCACCTGTGTTGGAGAGCTGAGTGCCTTCAACATGGAGAAATACCTGAAAAAAACTGATGTGTCAGGCAGCAGTGATGCCTCTGTTGCCCAGACTACGTTTGACCTAACCGGCTGGGCTGACAACCTCAACAGCTCTCAAAGGAGCCATCAGGGTGGATATCCTGATGAACAGGGGAGCTCAGGTCAGCGAGTGGACAGTGATACTCAACAGAAGCTCACAAGTACCAAAGCGGAGGAGAAAGACAGAAGAGCAGAGACAACATTAAACACTAACTCATCTATAGCGTGTCTTTCAAATGCTTTATCACCAGGTCATAAGGTTGACTCAAAAAGAAGCTCTATTCCTCGTCCTCGTACATCTTCCGGCTCTGCCAGAAGGTCTGTGGCCTCAGAGCTACCTTCCACTCTCAAGCCCCCTGCAGACAAAATGGCAGTGTTTAGTAATGCTGCTTCTGCCACCAAGACTTGTGGTTCCTCAGGCAGGGCCCTCACAGAAGATGGAGTCAAGCCAGGAGAACTAAACCCACAAGCATCCAACAATATTAGGTCTTCCTTAGAATCATCACAAAAGATGGATAAAAGCTCTGCCTCACCTGGCTTGCCGAGAACCCCGCCAGGTTCGAGGAAATGGCAGTCAGGCCTGCCTTCCTTTAGAGGTTCCTCTCCTCCGCTGCAGAGGGTGAGGAGTGCAGGCCAGCAGCAGCAGCAGCAGCATAGCAGCAGCAGCAGCAGCAGCAGGACAGACCCAGTAATTCCCCAGAGAAGAAACTACCACCCAGGAATATGGCTGTTCCACTACCCAGTAGTTCTGTGGAGAAGCATGTTGGCTTCACTCAGCCTCCACGAGACCCTGCATCTGGTAAGTAAGAAAAAAGAAATATGGTTTCTGATTTAAACACTACACATGCAACAGTTGTCTGTACAGTGGTCGACCTTATTCAAACAACTTTAAAGATCGGTAGCCACCCTATTGTACATGATAATAAGGCATTGCTCTTATGATGACATGAACATTTATGTTAACAATAACTTTGTTTCTCAGAACTGCCAAATGGTTTTCCCGAGCCATGTGTGGAGGAGACACAGTGTAACTTCAGACCGTCCACTTCTCCACTTACTCACTCCTCTCCAAGTCAGACCTCCATTCCTAATGCTGATGGGTATTGTATCACACTTTGACTCTATGAATCAGTAGTATAAAATATTAGTATTTATTATCGAATAGCAATCTTTTTGGCTTCAAATAAAATTCTAAATACCAAAATGTATTGTGATTGCTCGACAAGAAAGGAAGTGTCACATTGGTCTTGAATATTCACTCTGTTGTCTAGTCTGGTATAATTTTCCATTGTTGTGCTGATGCACATTACTACTGACCGACACAGGGCATTTGCATATTGAGTCATTATTAATTTTTTACTTTGTTGTCTTGTTGTCCCAGTATGGTGTCACCTACGTCGTCCAGTGGACGTCTGGCAGACAAACATTCAGTTCTTGACCTCTCTCCTCAATCTACCTGCTCCAGCCCTAGTCTCAGCAGGCTCACATACATCTCAATGAATGATGGGACTGTCATACCTACACCTCAGAGACAAAAGGTACGCTAGAATAAAGTCTTAATAATGTTGGCTGCAACAGCACTGAAAGTTTAATTCTTGTTGCAAAAAGATCTGTTAATTATGAGTGTGGTTTTTATTGTCTCTGGTTGTATTGCCCTCCACAGAATAACTGTACCATGGCACTGAGCACCACCATCATCAGATTCAGTCCAACTCCACCTGTGGAACCAGATAACCAGTCTAACCTCGATATTCTTGGTCGGCCCAAAAGTCTGGACCAAGTGCAACCACAGCATTCTAAAAGCTTGGACCCCCTACCAGCACAGCAGTGTAAAAACCTGGAGCCCTCGTGTAGCGGCTCTGCTCTGAGCTGTACTCGCAGCCAAAGTGAATGTAACTACCACTGCCCCAGGGACAGAACTGCCGATCTTTCAGCAGGTTGCAGGAACCACAAACACCTGTCTGAGTCCAATGTAAGACAGCTCACTAAAGTGGACTCGGGCTATTGCAGTAATCTGAACATTCAGCAAGCTACTGGCGCTGCAGCTCCTCAGAGCTCTCAGCAGTGGGGAGCTGCTAGCTCAGCGTCATCTTCGATGTATGCTGGTGGTCTTGGCATGCCTCCGTCCTACTCATCAGAGGGACTTCACTATGTACCCATCCCCAGCTTCAAGCCCCAATGTGCTGGCTTGATTGACCTTCCCCGCCAAGGGGAAATGCAGTCCCTCCTCGCAGGACGCTCCCTCTTCAACCCCCAGCTGGCTCAGCAGTATTTAGGACCTGAAGCTCCATTACATCGTAGTGCTTATCATGTGGGAGCAACAGGAAATGGTCTTTTCAGTATGTCCTCTACAGGCATGTCTTTTCTCCCTACTTTCATAAATAAAGGTGCTGAGCTATATCTGAAAAAACGTAATGATGCAACATGACGGTTAAACCCCTAAAATATAAACATGTTAAATTGATTCTGCTTCCTTTTTTCCCCCAGGTATGCCCAACGGTGATCTCACAGTGAGGCACGTCCATCCCACTCCAGGTCCTTTGGGGATTTCTGGGACTGCTGGGTCCCATCACCTCCCAAGACCCCATCAGAGTCAGCAGGACATGGGGGTGATGGGAAAACCCTACGGTCAATATGGCACAGAGCCACTGGTGGCAGGTGGTCTTGAGGAACTGAGAGGTAGCAGTAGTCTTGGTGTTTATAAGAAAGTTGCCTTCCTTTACCCATTATAATGTACTGTGTACATTAGGAAAAAATGCTAAGACTACTGTAGTGAGATTAGACCATTAACTTAGACTGTTGTTGTTTTGTTTATATTCTTCTTCATACTTTAACTAATCATTTTGGTAGGCAAAGGTCAGTCAGATACTGGGAGATAATAATTTTCTTGTGCATAGCAGAAAGTTGCAACAGGCAATTTAACTCTGAATTTATAATTGCTGTAATTAATTATAGTGTTGAAGTCTTTGCATCTCATTGTCCTCCCTTACAATAAGTACATTACTTACCACCTCCTCCACATGGATAGGCAGCATTTCCCTGTACCAACGATCCCATTTCCATTGTCATCCTCAGGCCAAGTGGTGGTGCCAGATGAACTGCGGTTCCCTTACGCCTGCTGTGTAGGCATCGCCTCACAGACCTCCCTCAGCCTCTTCAACCCCTCTGAGAGATGGCAGCAAGTGTCAGTCACTGTCACCAGTCTGGCTATTGATGGAGAGAAGGTGAGCAGAAAGCACAGAGTGGTGACTAATTCTTTTATAGCGTCAAAGCACAGATCATGCTAAAAGTATTTTCAAAATTGGGTCTAAAACCCATAAAATGTCACATTGTGATGCAAGGGGCTGCTTCTAATTATGAGGCTAAACCAGCTCACAACACTCCTTTCATAATCACCTTTTCTTCTGTCTTCCATGCCAATCCCTACAGGTGGATACCTTGCCGTACCAGTGGCTTATAGTGAAGAACAAGACGATCATTGGCCCTAAGACTACAGAGGAGCAGAAGGTGTTGTTCATTCCTCCACAAGCTGGTGTCTACCAGTGTGTCCTCAATGTTTGCTCCTGGCCTGCATCTGCTGAGACAGAGGTTGCTGCCAGGGCCAATATCTTTGCTAAAAGGGTGGTGCTGGTTGCCATAGCAGAGAATCCTGCACTAGAGGTGAGGGCCTGCGGTTCACAGATCACAAATGTAACCAAAACTAATCTGCTACATAAGAAATAAGGCAAAATAATAAATCTGTGGGTTAAGATTCATATGAAGAGATGGCGTTATCAGGTATATCATGTAGATGACGTGTAAATAAAATAAATATGTTGCATAGAATGTAAGACAGAATCTGAAATTCATTTCTTTCTCAGGTTGAAGTAAGCAAATCCGGCTGGCTGGATTTTGGAGACCTTCCAGGAGGAAGTGCCAAATCCATTCCTCTCAAACTGCTAAACAGGACTCATGCTACAGTGCCCATCCGTCTGGTCATCAGTGCAGTGAGTCAACATAGTACACTTCTACATATTCTTAGACCACTTACAACACGTGCAGTATACAGATCCACAACAGTGATACAGTGACCTCCAGTGGCAGCTATGTGGTTTTTACTTAATAGAACTGTGTAAGGCTAAAAGACAGGTGCATTTTGAAGTAGTTAAGCTAAGCATCAGGGTTTTAAGACACCATGTAACCTGGCAGTAGCAGCCTGAAGTTCATCTTATAGTTTAACCCACATCTAAACTATTGACACAGCAGAGGCTAACAAGTGTTAGTGTTTTGACATGATGGAGAGTAGATCAAATAGCTCTCAAAATACCTGTAAACATGAAACATTATTTAAAATTGTATGCAATTGGCCCTGAATCGAATCTAATGAATATCTCAGGTCTTACTGTTTCGGATCTAATTAAATTTGATGGTGTTGTAGGGGGGAAATAAAATTGCATTTTGACAGCACATCTTTCTTTTCTATGCAAAAAACACAGCAGTGAGCATAATAATTAGTATGAGTGATTCACATTTTTCACATCTCATTTCTCCAGAACGCTACAGCATGGCGATGCTTCACCTTTTCCAAGCACCCTGTTACCATGACATCTGAGGCAACGCAGCAGTCTGGACACATGACCCCAGAGTCCTCTCCCTCGGTGATGAATCATGTGATGCATGCCAGCTACGGAGAGGTTAGAATTGCCAAAGTCATTACAACCTTATTCAGCATCTCGGTCACTTAATGAATTAATTCCATGCTACAAGTTTTTGTCTATATTTACTGTGGCATTCAGAACAATCTGTGTTTTTAATACAGTTCACAGAGCCATTCTCTTTCTCTTTCTCACCTATTGAGCTGTGAAACTGGCATTATCAGTCACGTGTTAATGTTTCCTTTTTTCAGAATCCACAGAGCTTCATGGTCTGGGTTCATTTCAAGGCCCCTCAGAAGTACTCCGTTCCTTCAGGTGATCAACTTGAACTGAAGGATGGCTAACGCTTTATGTAGCAGATTAGATTGTAGATGTAGATTTTAACTGTTGGCACCATTTGTGCTAAAGGCAGTGGACACATTAACTATTTATTATGTCACTTAAGCTCTAATAATCTAAGAGACATTAGATTTTTACATTTACATTTGCCAACTTAAATAAAATCAAAAAACAAAACCCAGTTTCATTTTTGGTAACATTAACTCTTTGTGGTTGCACTCGGCAGGAGAGCTTGGTCCGGCTGACGAGTACAGTGCTCGGGTGGACATTGAAGTGGACTCTCCTGGTCCAAGTCATGTGATCAGGAGTATTCCCCTTAGGGCCAGGTCTGGAACTGCAAGGGTTCATGCTCCTAAAGACCTGCAGGTAGTTAAACTGCCGTTTGGCTTTTATTATGGTTTTGTTTGTTTGTTTTCAGACTGATAGTATAATTCATCACACCACTACATTGCAATGATATTGTTATGTATGTCTTGTTGAGATAGAGCAGCTCATACTCCACTGGCACAAATGTAACTGAAAATCATTGCACCAGCACACGGTATCCTCAGAAGGATTGCTAATGTAAAAGAAAGTAGACACACTATTGTGATTTTCAGTGACCAGTGACAATTAAGCTAATCAGTTACTGCAGATTTTTTTTTTTTTTTTTTTTTTTTTTGTCTTTATCAAAAGGGTTAAGATAAGATATTCCTTTATTTTCTATCCCCTCCTTAGGACAAATCAGGTTTGAACACAGCGCAATAGGGCAAAGTAAGTAAAAAACAGAGAACAAAAGAATTATAATAATAAAATATGCTAATATATTAGAATTAGAAGATTATTAAAACTATAAATTTAAAGTATATACACTATGCATTGTTCAAGTACGGACATGGGATGCCAACAAGTATAAGCAGAAAAATTCAAACCGACTAAAAACTAAAAAACTAAAAAATAAACTTAAACTACTAAAGTGAAATTAAATTTCTAGCTTTGCTCTTTTATTGACTAAGGAGATACGGTCAAACCAGGCTCTAAATCTGTATCAAGCCGAGTCATCCACACAATTCCACAGCTTGTTCGTTATTTTTAAACTTAAGGCTGGAGACATTTTAAATTTAATTTTTAATTTAATTGGTTTGCTTAACAGTCGTATCTACATTGTAAACTTTCTGTCAAGCCATTTCTCTTTTGACATTATTATGAAACATACAACTACTTTTTTCTTTAATCAACATGTTCATTCCTTGTTCAACTTTTCTTGGCCGGTTTGTAGATGTGTGCAGTTTCAACCTGCCTCTTTTGTGGCTTTTTTGTCTAGACTGTCAGCCTGGGTCTGCTCCACTGGGGGGTAAATCTATCAACAGATGCTGCCATTAAAGAAGTGCCAGGAATACATTGACGTGCAGCTGGAAATCAACGGTAATTTCTGACCTCTTACTTTTCTTATTAGATCTGGGGTTTGAGTAAGCCCTGCGTGACATTTTGCGCCTCAGGCCTGTTCGCACTTACAGTGGGCAATTCATTGATATTTTGCCTCCTGTTTTTCTTGCTTTTGTCCATTTCACCTTTATTTCTGTCTTTCGTTTCTCTCACGTTTCCTCTCTTGTTTGCTCTCTTTCTAACTTTGTTTCCATATGGCCCTTCACCAATTCCTGGCTCTTTCTCTCCTGGTTTCCCCTCTTGCTCTCCTCAACCTACACAATTTACTGTGCTCTGTTGTTCTCCCTCCAATTCTTTTCATCTCTTTCTCTCCATTGTTGCCTCCTAACATTCAACCTTCTTTGCTGTTTCATCGCGCTACATTTTTGTCCTTCTCTTCTCACTTCTACTTCCTTTCATTGTCTTTCATTTCTGTTTACAGCACAGTGATGCTGGAAGACGTTCTCTGTGAACCTGAAGAACTGTCCCTAAAGAGAAAGCAACGATGGATGTCTCGCTTGCAGACACAGCGAGCATAGATACGAGAAATGATATGAAATTTTTTCTTTTAGAGTGTGCTTAGTATTCTGATTGTTTTTTTGCATTAACCACATTTGCTAAATTGTCCGTAATGAAACACAGTTGCAGCCAGCCCATCCAATAATAATACGATTATCAAAACATGTATCACCCTAAGTTTGCTTGAAAACCGCATTGTTGGCATTGGTGGTATGTGTTAGACTCCACATTTCGTAACTGGGAGTTTGTATGAACGGTGCCTTCGAGACAGGAGTCATGGTGGTGTCACAGGGCAGTGCCAAAACGCGGACAAGAGGAAAATTATAACTTGTAAGCGTTGCAAAGAAAAACTAAAACAGAAGTGACACATTTAAAAAAAAGTATGCCTCACCAGGTCCATATTCTACCAAAAATGCGTCATCTCATTCCCACTTAAGTATACATGAAACTGGTCAGCTCTGGTGTGAAATTTAGGCAACCAGGTTACTGCATGCAGCTTGCATATGTTATTTTGAGCGAATATGCATTGCGAATATGATTCACAATATTGGTTGAACCAGATCATTTTTGGATCGGACATTTTTTTTTTTGTTTTTTTTCGGTTAAACTGTTCCATCCATGAAAATATGTGTGGCTGAAATTATTAGGGTCTGGTACCAAACAAACATGTTTTCTTACATCGTGGGAGAACAAGATTTGTGTTTGTATGTACTTTTTAAGTCCACAACAGGAGAATTCCGCTGTGTCACAACAGCATTTACGTGAAATAAATAAATAGCAAATACTAGAAGAAAACTATGGAAAGTAACAGCTGCATCGGTATGGTGGTAATTTGAAAAACAGAAACTACAATCATTGATCATGGTGTGTAGGAGGTCTCGACAGCATCACGGATGAAAAGACCTGCAGAACCTTCCCTTCTCACACCGACGTGTAACAGCTGCTGCTGAAGGAGCTACTCCAGGGACCCACAGTGTCAGGTGTTGTCCATGATGATTGTCAGGCTTCACTGACATCCTCCTTGTCACTCACTCTCCTGGCTTTAGCCAGGTATATATCTGGCAGGCTTGCAGTACTTCATTATAATGCTGTTGTTGGTCACACATTTAAATTTTTCATCAAAGCTTCTGTGACTTTGGCATATTGGCCTGTATTTGATAATATTTCCCATTAATTGTGCAGCCCTGCTTCTGTGTTGTTGTGTTAAACAGTCCTTCTCAACCATCTTGTGCTGCATCACGCTCCTCAGTATGGAGCGTATCCCTCCAAAGGAGACAAGTCGTCCCAGAGGACTCTGGGAAAAGCCTGCATTCCCTCCTGCTCGTCTTCCTGGTCCTGGTGTGGCCAGTGATATTCCACCAATTCTCTCCGAATCAAAACAAGTTCGTAGCCTGGGGAGGGGTCAACTCTAGGGCGACGCTGTGTAAGCAAACTTTTCGGTTTTCATTAAATTTCACCT